TTCTATTTTCTTTCAATGCTAAATCGTATCTCCGCGCGCCCATGTAATATCCTCTATATCCAATAATTGTTTATTGTCTTTATAGTGGTACATTTTTAACACTTCTTATATCGGCCTCCAGATTCATATCTAAAAATTTAAGCATATTTCAAAAACCAATATTATACACTGAGAAAAAAATATTCAGAATCAAGTTCAAAGACAAAGGATAAATTTTGGGGCAAATTGACCACTTCCATATTGTCAGCATCTCCAGTAGCTTAAGAATCTTAAATCTTAAAATAGGATAATTGCATGATGGCATTATAGACCTCCCTTGCACACTTTCTTTTGTTCCGGTAATAGCACCAATTGTCTTACTATTCTCATGAGGAAATGAAAATTTAAATAAGAAAGAAAATTCACGAAGCATTATGGTAGAGGGAGTCAAATGATGCCATCATGCAAATGTCCTATTCATGGCAACATTCATTTAACATTTCAAAGTTAAAAAGATATGTACAATTTTTTTAAGAATTACCTGACTTAAAAGCAAAGGTTAAAATTTATTTCTTAAATTTGGGAGTACATATTAAAATATATATGTGGGAATAAATGAAAATGAGGCCACAAAGGTCAGATATCACAAATCCATACAAAAGCCTCTAATTTTGATCCCCAATATCTTTGAAACTTTCCACTTAGCATTTAGCAAACAAACATAAACTTTTAGTTTGTGTGACAAATTCACGCAAAACTTTTAGCAAAATTTTTAGGCCATACTTCGTTGCATTTTTAGTATTGATAGGAATGGCATTTTCTTTCATTTTTTCAATTTCCTCATTGGAAATTGTAGCAAAAAGATTGCCGGCAGATGCCATTTTGTTGCCAACTTAATATTCCGAGATTCAGAGGTGAATATTGTACAATATTCACCTCAAATTAACCAATGATTGTGCACATTCTTAGGAAGTACACAAGTTGGTATATGCTAAAATGTTTTATCTTTGCTGTGGGGAGACACACTAAGCAGGACCACTTTGCTGAGTAGCAATATTTCATACCAAAAAAACTTTAGCCAATCAGAACAAATTCAGTGTCATATTGACTTCAACCAATCAGAGTCTTTCATTCATGTTCATTCCCCACAGCTGTTGTTGTTTTTCTCAGATATTTGAGTTTGATTGTTTTTTTTTAAATCCATCATGATTGGTTAACTTTTTGCAGATAGTCCCAGTTAGTGTGCCCATGTGCAGTATTTGCTTTTTCATATGGTCTACTATAGGCAGTTCGTTGAAAAAATGTGGATATCTGAGAATTAAAAAGCCTAAATTAGAAAAGAGATCTATGAATGAAAATCAGATTTAATGTTTTTCTTTCTTTTCCAATTTTATGTGTTTTTTTTCACAAGTCTACATATAATTCCGGATACTACATTTTAATCCGTAGTCTCGATTTTGGGCCCGAATTATAGGGCYATTATTGAAATTGCCCAAARAGTTTGGGCTATACTACGATTGCCCAAACCATTTGGGATAACTATCCTTTGGTATCTGTAGTATCCCTAACGTTTAGGGGAATACTACGGAAAGCCCAAGTCTAAAGGGCTTTCACGGGAAAAGCCCAAACCATTTGGGCCATGAATGCTGAAAATCACGGCATRTTGTTGTTTTCATCAAKCAACACTTATGACTCTTATTAYTAGTAAACCAAATGTTCAATTACACAAAAACAACACTGAGCGAGTGCTGGAAATATGTATTCGTTTTTTGTAGAATTGCGTATCGCTAAGTCGATATTTCTCCATAGAAACGAATCACGTATGAACATACAAATTTATTGTTGCAATAGCTTGCAAAGCACACCGCATTGGGCCCTCCCGCCTAAATATCAAGTTCAAATGTTGACGCTACCATCTTCTAAATAGCAATCACTGTTGCTTGCCTTTATTGAAGAATTATTGTACTCACTTTATTAACCAACCATTTAACCAAAATAGCTACAACAATCTATCGATAATACAGTCAAGTCATTTAAATACAGTCAAACATATTTGCGTTTACAATTTTATCTCTGTTGCATCGAATAGGACAGCTCTAAATGATATTATCTTACTTGCTAGGATTACCTGTACTTTGCAAGACATTCAGTTACGAGTGGATCCGCGACTTTGACACTTTTCCATCGCAGAATATTATAATTTGCTCCATCAATGAAAAAACACCGCACGCTGTCTATATATCGCGGTGAACTGCCCTGTATCGAATTACATGATTACAACAACAGCAACCAAGCRACAATTTGCCGCTAGTCCCTTCACTGTCCCTTAAACACTAAGGGAAACATATAGAAAAGCCCAAACGATTTGGGATTTCGATCTTTTGAACAACAATGACGTCTACACTTTGAACAGCAAGCGGCGACTGTATACTTGTCAAAGACTAGTCGTGATCGAAATCCCAAATCGTTTGGGCTTTTCTTATGCAGGGCTGTCAACTCTCCCGGATAAACCGGGAGTCTCCAGATTTTGGACCGTATCTCCCGGTCTCCAGATTAGAGTCTCAAATCTCCCGGTTAATCGCTGAAGCTAACCATTTCTTGTGAGGCTCTACTTTCACGACCATAAAATTCCAATTATTTTGTGTTGTTTGTGTTATTTTACATCGCTAACAAAATCAAGACATTCCTCACAAACTGTTCTTGCAAGCAGGCCATTGTAATATAAGCGACAATCAGATTGGTCAGAAATAAACCAATCAAATCAAATGTTACAAAGCGAATGACATCTTTTCGCGCGCTTTTTGATGCGCTGTGATGTCATATCCCTTCCCTATCAATTCTCCAGATTTGAATATCTCGGGGGTTGACAGCACTGCTTATGTTTCCACTATTTGTTTAGGGAYAGTAACGCTACACTTTGATCAGCAAGCGGTGACTGCTACTTGTCAGAGACTAGTCGTGATCGAAATCCCAAAATCGTTTGGGCTTTTCTATATGTTTCCCTTAGTGTTTAAGGGACAGTGAAGGGACTAGCGGCAAATTGTCGCTTGGTTGCTGTTGTTGTAATCATGTAATTSGATACGGGGCAGTTCACCGCGATATATAGACAGCGTGYGGWGTTTTTTCATTGATGGAGCAAATTATAATATTCTGCGATGGAAAAGTGTCAAAGTCGCAGATCCACTCGTAACTGAATGTCTTGCAAAGTACAGGTAATCCTAGCAAGTAAGATAATATCATTTAGAGCTGTCCTATTCGATGCAACAGAGATAAAATTGTAAACGCAAATATGTTTGACTGTATTTAAATGACTTGACTGTATTATCGATAGATTGTTGTAGCTATTTTGGTTAAATGGTTGGTTAATAAAGTGAGTACAATAATTCTTCAATAAAGGCAAGCAACAGTGATTGCTATTTAGAAGATGGTAGCGTCAACATTTGAACTTGATATTTAGGCGGGAGGGCCCAATGCGGTGTGCTTTGCAAGCTATTGCAACAATAAATTTGTATGTTCATACGTGATTCGTTTCTATGGAGAAATATCGACTTAGCGATACGCAATTCTACAAAAAACGAATACATATATTTCCAGCACTCGCTCAGTGTTGTTTTTGTGTAATTGAACATTTGGTTTACTAATAATAAGAGTCATAAGTGTTGATTGATGAAAACAACAATATGCCGTGATTTTCAGCATTCATGGCCCAAATGGTTTGGGCTTTTCCCGTGAAAGCCCTTTAGACTTGGGCTTTCYGTAGTATTCCCCTAAACGTTAGGGATACTACAGATACCAAAGGATAGTTATCCCAAATGGTTTGGGCAATCGTAGTATAGCCCAAACTCTTTGGGCAATTTCAATAATAGCCCTATAATTCGGGCCCAAAATCGAGACTACGGATTAAAATGTAGTATCCGGAATTATATGTAGACTTGTTTCCTTTGAGTTTTTAACAAATTTTCTTGGCCTTGCTAAATATCTGATATATTACTTATGTCTAGAGTGGGCAGTTGTTTACAGAGAAAAATACTAGTCAAAAAATATAAAGATAAGGGGGTCACCTGAATATTTCACAAGCACACAGAATTATGTGGGGGGTTAGGGGGTTGATAGGTTTTCATGAAATTAGTATTGATTTTTGCCCCCCCCCCTCCTCCCTCCTCCCTAGACATAAATAATTAGGCTGCGTTCATGATGTATGGCAGAGGGGGGGGGGGGCAGGTGAAAATTTGAAATGTCCAGAATAATTCTAAACAACCCCCCCTTAAAGTCCCCCCTAGCAAGGCTTGTAGCTTCTTTCCAAAAATTGTGCATCCCCCCATTTTTCTGATAGAAATTTGCCCATCCCCCCTTTTTCCTACCAAATTTTCCTGATCCCCCCTC